TTTTTTGGTTACTGATTCGTTGACTTCAAACTCTAGGTCACCACAATTTGATGTGTCCGAACTTGAGACCCTTTTCTCTGCCACAGTACCCAAATCTGATATTGCAGGTGGCAAATCTGGAGAGCGCCGGAAATCTACTGGATCTAAGCCTGATAAAGTCCATCTGGTAATCTGGGCAACGTCTTGTGTGGTTCTTGAATTGACCCTTTTTGCCTTTTGTGGTTTGAGGGCATGATATTGCTTTTTTTTTTCCTAATATAAACTTATTCTCTTTTTAGGTTGACCTAAGGAGGGCCAACAATACTGAAATTATGCTCACAAAAGTGAAAATGCCACTTCCTGACATGATGGTAAGCAAAATATGCGAAGAGCTCTTGCTAAGATTTTTACTACATAGTTTTCAGGTTTCAAACTTATTATTTTTTTTTTCTATTTATTGGAATCTTTTGGATGTTTGAAGCAGTTATCTAAAGTAAAGCAACTCTAAGTAGCTTTATTTGGTGCATTTTTCTCTTCTTTCATTGTTACTTAGGATTGAATGGTTGCGTGTAGATATAAACAAAAAAATTTAATCGTCCATTCATCTGAAATTTCCTGCGAAAGAAAACAAGAAGATAGAATATTAAGTAACAATGAAGAATAATGAGAGGAAATAAGTTTTGATCCAAACTAAAGCTCAGCGGAGGAAGATGATGAATGCAGCTCCTTTTTTCGATAAACCAATAAATGGTTACATAATACATTTATAATTTATTCCTTGTTCTTTTATTTTATTTTTATTTTTTACTTTTATAAAATTTCTTTCATCGTCCAAGAGTTTGTATAGCTGGAGGTGGTCATACCAACTAACTTTGTTGGTTTTTATCTTCTTTAACTTTTTTTACTCCCTATAGTTTATAACAGCACTGAGGGTTGACTTTTGACAGGCTGCAGCACTTGCAATGGATGAATCAATTTTGGATGCTGATCAAGTAGAAAATCTAATCAAGTTTTGCCCAACCAAGGAAGAGATGGACCTTCTTAAGGTATAACTTTACATGTGCATTTTTGTTGCAAGTCGTACTACTCAAATTATTTTATTATGATCCAAGGAGCCATTACATTTATTTAATTAATTTTGTCGTTGTAACATTTTAGGGCTACACAGGTGACTTGGAGAATCTGGGAAAGTGCGAACAGGTTTGTGAACAGGATCCAACTTACTTTATTATGTCATGTTGTTTTGTTTGCACTATACTTCTGAAATGATATTGTCAATAATAAATCCCCTTTTGATTTAGGATATTGTACCTTTGTAATTGCTATATATCCAGGAATTGCCGAAATTAAGATGTCAAATTTGATTCGTTCACAGACAGCTGCCACCATAGAGGACTTTTTTTTTCCTGATTTTCTTAACAAATTCTTGTTAAATGCTTGTAGGCCGACTGAAAATTGTTTAGTGTCTTTGAGATGGTTAACAAGGGAATTTAGCTAGTGTATTTCTTGGATCATAAGCCTTATTCCGCATTTAGTTTATCATCAGAGTGGTCTGCCTGTAGGATTGAGCTGCATTGTTTTCTTTCTCTTCTCTCTATATCTTTGCTGCTTTGAATAAGAGGCTATATTCTTGGATAATGGACTTTTTACCTTTTCAGTTTTTCCTGGAGCTGATGAAGGTGCCGCGAGTTGAAGCAAAATTAAGGGTTTTCTTATTCAAGATTCAATTCAACTTTCAGGTTGGCTTAATATATATTTACTTGTAAGAATTACAGTGACATGGAACGTATCTAAGTTTGCATTTGATTGCCAGGTTTCTGATTTTAAGAAAAGCTTGAACCTAGTAAATTCTTCTTGTGAAGAGGTAAAATGAAATATCTGCTGAATATTGATTTGCTTTTAACAGTGATGGACATAATAACTTAGCATCTTACATTCATTAGGTCCGGAGATCCCTCAAACTGAAAGAGATTATGAAGGCAATCTTATTTCTTGGGAATACACTGAATCATGGAACTGCCAGAGGTATAAACCGTTCTGGTCAGAACTAGTGAAGCTACATATACAAATGGGGGGTTATTCAGTGTATTGTGCATCTCAAATCTGTGTGAACTGTTATCTGTAATGCTGATGAACACTTTCTGTTTCATGGATAGGTTTATCATAATCTAACATGTCAAAGATTGTAAGGCCTGCTCCGAACAGTGACACTAATGACTAATGTAGTTGATTTTCCATGGCATGAACCTTCATTGCAGTGTTAAATCCATGTCTTTACATGTGTTTAGGTCCACTATAGTCCGCATTTTTCACTGCATAACTTTCTGAATCAAACACCATGTATTTAACATCTGTCGCCCTTTGGGCATTAGTAACTTCAAAGTTCAAACAATTTGTTTCTAAGTGTAGTGGGTAGAAAGGTGTTATTTTGGGTTTTTAAATGCCTGTATTGATTATGAACTTTCTGTTAGGTTCGGCTCTTGGATTCAAGCTAGATAGTCTTTTGAAACTCACAGATACACGCGCATCCAACAGCAAGATGACACTCATGCATTACCTTTGTAAGGTATGATAAAATTCCTTCTTATGTTACAATTGCATTATTGATGTTTTACTTCAGAATCTTTGGTGCAGTCACTATTATCAATTGCAGCTCAAAGCACTTTCTTGTTTGCGCTCGTCCTTTCGTGTGCAAAAATAACAATTTGGAGCCTTAAATTTTGGAAGATCAATCACACTGTTCAGCTTAGTCACTGAATATTTTCTCCCGAGGAATATCTTAATTGATGCATAATGGCTATGGATATATTCAATGCATTAACAAATTTTAAGTTGGACTTTTTTACAAACTGTTTAAGAATTGTGTAACGCATCTTATCTTGTCAAAAGCAACTCTAGAATGTCACATTTCACTGGTATTAGATTGCTTTTGCGTAATAAAAAAGCACACTTGTAGTTAATCTAGCTGTGCTTGCAATAAATATCTCCTTTTGTTTATCAGAAGCTAGCGTCAAAGGCACCCGGTCTTTTGGATTTTCATCAAGATCTCGTCAGCTTGGAAGCAGCCTCAAAGGTTCATAATTATTACCTGATAGGTGAATAATTTTGAAAGCTGTAAACAACTTCACGAGTGACGATTATTTTTTTCGTTTCTTTATCTTCTTTGGCCAGATACAATTAAAATCTTTGGCAGAAGAAATGCAATCCATTATCAAAGGTTTGGAAAAGGTGAAGCTGGAATTGGATGCTTCGGAAAACGATGGTCCTGTATCTAACACTTTCCGCAAGGTATTTCAGGATAAATTTTACTCGGTTTCTACTGAATTTATTATATACATCATACATTAATAGGAATGCTTTATAATTGTTTTACTCCAGGAGCATATTTTTCTTGTTTTAAATAATTTAGAATTTTTTTCGTGTGACAGACATTGAATGAATTTGTTGTTATTGCTGAGACTGAAGTGTCCTCCGTGACAAGTCTATATTCCATTGCGGTACTTTTCTTGCCGAACAATGTATTATACATAATGCAATAGAATCTGATTTATTTGTGTTGGCAAATTGTAAATGTTTTTAAATTGGTCGGCAGGGAAAAAATGCAGATGCATTGGCTCTATATTTCGGCGAAGACCCTGCCCGATGCCCGTTCGAGCAAGGTAAACTGACAAACGCATTTTTTCTTCCCATTCTATATTTTTTACATTACGAATTTTGCAGATAACAGTATCAAATCATGAATTGCCTTTCAGTTACGCAAACCCTCTTGAACTTCGTGAGATTGTTCCGGAAAGCTCATGACGAAAACTGCAAGCAGGCCGAACTAGAAAAGAAGAAAGCTCAGAAGGAGGCCGAAATGGAGAATGCAAAAGGGATTAGCCTGACAAGGAAAGGGGGGAAAACTGAGAGTTGAAGAATTTATTTAAATTGGAATCAACCTTATGTCGGGTTGCGATTGTTGACCCACGGGCCCAACTCTGATAATGATGGGCTTTCAGGAATCGGAGCTAAGATGGTGCTTTCGGGACTTGAACAATATTTACACTCTTCTGCAGAGAAGTCAAGTTTTGAAAGTAACTTGTGGCACTTTTCATCTGACTTGGAGTAGGAGGCCAATCTGACATAAGTTTGTCGAAAAAATATTTACTTATTTTACTCTGGCAGACGATTTGTTTGGCGAGAAGATGGATTTATCGAGAAGATGTACGTATTTCGTGCCTTGGATCAGTGTTGAGAAAGTCACATGTGTCATGTGGGTTGAGCTCGAACTGTTTATGCACGCATGGGCTCGCACTATGTTTGGAGAAAACCGAGCTCATTTGCTCCAGTGTATCGGCATCCCATTCACACATCAGCTGGAAAATAGTTCTTTAAGCCTATTTATTAGTAGAATGAACCATTGATTGGCATTTGTACATAATTAGGTCTAACCCTTTGTTTAGGTTCAGCACAAATTCTTTGTTGTAGCGTAAAACTTTGCCTGGTTCCCCTGTAACAGTAATCGGGTCGACCCGGTTGTGGAACCTTTCGTAAATTTCTTGTGCATAAGGAGATGTAGGGAGTATTGATTTAGTCTAGTTATTTACACTTTCACTCAAATCCAATATGAGAACTTTTTTTAGGCATATATATATATTGTATGGTACAGTCCAAACCTTGCCCACAACTACATTCTCTGCAAGCTTTAAGGAAAATCCTGTACCTATATTTTCTGAAAACACACACACACACACACACACACACACAAGTTTCTACTTACACCATGTTCACATTTGTTCATCAATTCCAAACAAGAAGTTTGATCCTATAAAAAATAAAAGAAAAATGTACAAAATCTTTGTTCTGCAACAAAATGAATCAACATAACTACACCATCTCCATCGACTCGCCTTTCCCGAAAATCGACCTTCTTCGATCTCTTTCCCGACCGATAGTCTCGTAACCACTCCCGCAGCCCTCCAATAACACACAACCGGCAATGGCATCCACCACAAGAACCACGGAATACATGTAGCTGATCAGCACCGCCTCCAAAATCACTGGCCAGCTCATCACTCGACCGTAATAATAATAACCCCTCACGACTCGGCGCCGAAAAATTGCCTCGACTCCCGCCAAAGCCGCGTTCGTCGACACGGCCAGAGCCAGTGCTGCTCGTCTCCTCCCCCTCACCAGCACGCACGCCTCGAGAACTGGCCCGAACCCGGCCCGACCCTCCACACATGAGACGACCAGCGCCAGGTGGCACACCACGTAAGCATTGGCTGCCACAACCGAGTAGACCACGGCTGTGGATATTGTAACCCCGGAAAGGGTATTTTCGGAATAAGAAAGTCCCGAGAAATCGAGGGCATTGAAGCACGCGACGAGCAAGGAGAGGCACGTGGCGTTGATCGAGAAAACGACAAGCACGTTGCAGAACTGGGTGGCGACAAGCCGGTTCAGCGTCGTGATCCAAGAAAAAAAGACGGGTTTTTTTCGGGTGGTGTCGTGGTCGGATAATGATAATGATGATGATGTTGAGGTGGCATGTCGTGGGAAAAGGGCACGGATTACGAAGGCTTTGGAGAGGAGGAGAGAGGAGAGAGAGAAGGGGAGGAGGAAGACGAAGGAGAGGAGGGCTCGGGAGAGGTTTAGGGTGAGGAAGGAGAATAGTCGGGAGGAAGGGGGGAGGCCGGAGGCGAAGAGGAGGGCTTGTAGACGAGCGTGGAGTAGCGGGAAAAAACGGGAGGAGGAGACGAGCGGTGGGGAGAGGAGGGTCGAGAGGGCGAACGGGAGGGCGAAGAGGGCCGGTGTGGAGGTGAAGTGGTGGAAGTCTTGGAGGAAGGTGGAGATTGATCTTCTCATGAGCATCCTTGTGGTTTTGGCCATTGTTAGTGTGTGGTTTTTTTTTTCCTTTCTTTTTTCCCTTTTTTTTTGTGTGGGCATAGGGAGGTTTTTGAAGTGTGGGTTTGGGGGTATTGAAATAGCTTTTCTGGTGTTTTTGGTGTGGTTTGGTGTCTTGTTTCTTGGATGGGAGTTGGATTGGGCAACTACTTGTGAGAGCTAAGGGGTTTTGTGGGTAAAGGGTGGTTTTTTTGAAGTGTGGGTTTGGGGGTATTGCAATAGTTTTCTTTTGGTGTTTTTGGTGTGGTTTGGTGTGTTGTTTTCTTGGATGGGAATTGGATTGGCCAACTACTTGTGAGAGCTATTGCACCACCACCTTTTGAGGGGAGTTGGATCTTAATTTTTTTTTTTTTTTCTTGTGTATTGTTTTTGTTTCTATTGGACTATTGACTTTGTTTGGGTTGATTGTGGATATTGGGGTTGGCATGGCACTTGGTGCATTTGTACTATTTGCATATCATATGTAAGTATTGCAAACTATTTACTAGGATTTTTTTTTTATTGTTATTTTTTTATTACCATGGATCAATGTTTTTTGTGGGGCACTTGAGTTGATGAGATTGTTTGCAAAATCACAAGAATCAAACATGTAAAAATTATCATTAGAAGGTGGGAACTTATGAGGTAATGGGTATGTGGTTTTCTTGGTGTAATTGCATTTGCAAATAATTCAACTTTTTTTCAAACTATGGCTTAAAATATACTCTCTTTTTCTTAAAAAAAAAATAAAAATATATGGTTGGATATTCATATTTATGGCTTTGTACCTTCTACTTTAATGGGGAGCCATCTCTATATTTTCTCTAATATTTTCTACTTCAAATATATATATATATATATATATATATATATAATTGCTGGCTGATTAGCATTTAATAAAACCTATTAAATTATATCTATGTGGCAATATGTTTTTTTCCCTCAAAAAACCATTACTTTTTATTTATTTAACCCCTCATTTAATTATTAGATAATCAACACACTAATCACTTCAAAATTACAAAAATCATTTTAATTTTTGATTTACTTACAGCTGACCATATAATGTATTGACTATTTAACGTGATTAGATGTTATTGTTGTGGTTACATTTAAATTAACTTCTTTTGAAAACTAAAAAAATTTCTAAATAAATAATAAATAATTCACAAAAAAAAAGATACATATCAGAATATACATTACATCCAATATGATAAACACAATTAAAATAAATAAATATTTCAGGTACATCATTAACAACTTAATGCATACAAATAACTCATAATATTTTATTTATATATATGTGCAAATGCACAGGTCGAATACTAGTAATGAAGATTTTTTTATTGAATTTTATCTTGTGAGTACATGTTCAGATAGAGAACCCAAAACTTTTAACTTAAGTAATCTTAAACACAAGATATTAACTTACTATTTGTTTT